CCCCTCTCTTTCTGGCTTCCTTCTCCATCCTAACAGTCTGTTCCAGTGGATACTGTGCAGGACCACACATGGAATGAAGCAAGAAGAATTAGTTCTGGGGTTTTGGGGATAAGCCAGTGATGGAGAAAGAGAGGAATTTACTAGAAAGTCTGTTCTTGGGAGAAATCCTGGTCAAGTGAGTATACCAGTGGGGGAACTGGGCTTCAGATTTGTGCACTTTTAGTGATGTGTATTCACAAAAGAAGTTACAGGTGAATACTAAATGCGGGGAAATGATCCTTAACTTGCAGATCCTTACCGTGTAGAAATGATCCTCTGCCAGGGACGTGTGGTTATTTCTGAAAAGCCTTCTGCTGGCAACCTGGGAGGGATGCCAGAGGAGAAAGAAGACAGGTGGGTGTGGGGTAGGAATAAAGAGATGAACAGATGTGTGCCCATTGCTGGCCCTTGACAGTCCCGTGAATCTCTAGGCCAGCTCTGTCCCATAGACGCCTGTGGTGATGGAGCTGTTCATACTAATTCCACACGTGGCTCCCGAGCTCCTGAAATGTGGCCAGTGTGTCTGAGGAACTGAATGTTCACTTTGGTTTACTTGTAATTAGTGTAGATTTAAAAAGGCACACCTGATTAATGGCTATCTTCTGGGTCAACACAACTTGAGGTCACCTTCTGGTGTGCGATTTTTGTCCAAGCCATCATGACCCAAGGACTGTGGAGCTTGATTTGGTTCTGGGAAGGCTCAGGAATTCACGTCTGCTGGGGTGAGACGTGAGGATGACTCTGGGGCTTTGAATATGAACATTGGATTCCTCCATACCTCATCCAAAGTAGACTTAGTATCATTAAATTACTGTTTGACTGATCAATTATTGATTAATGATTAGTACTTCATTGTTCGTTGAGCACCTACAATAGGACAGATGCTATGTTTAAAAATGGGGATGTTGTAGAGAACAAAACCAGCTGGAATTCTTGCCCTCATGGGGCTTCTGGTCTGTGAGAAGACAAACACTGAACAAGCATGAATGGAGGCATGTTATGAAAGAAGTCTCACCTCCTGTCAGTGGGAAAGAGTCTTTCTGCATGTATGGGGTGAGGGTGGGGGCCAGGGGATTTCAAATGGCAACAGTCATTTTGTCACAGTTTGTTTCAATGGGGACATTTCTAGTCTGTGGTCCCTGAACTCTGATTCAACTTTTCCAGTCCTCTTCTTGCCTTCCTTCTCAGTAGAATCTTCTGGGCTGACCTGATGTCTTGACATGGTGGTTGAACTCATAAAAAGGGAGAACCCTTGTTTCACCACCCCACACCCCAAAAAGGATTCAGAGGGAGAGGCAAGGAAGGAGAGTTGAGAAGATGGGACAAAGAGCACTGGCAGAGGTTGGGGTGGGCTCGGGCTGTGGGGCGGCATGCCGCTGCAGCCCCCAGGGGCCCCCGGGAGTGCCTGAGGCAGCTGTGGACGGGGCTCCCTTGAGGGACGGGATTTTGTTACAGTCTCTACCCAAAACTGGGATGGAGGCCAAGGCTGCAGCCTGAGTCAGCCTTCTAGCTCTAGCCCAGCACCGCCTTGACTCTGTGCCTTGGGCTGTCAGTCCTTCTGCTTGGCCACCCCCAGATGGGTGCAGTCAGTTGGCTGATTTAGTAAGTGTCCAAGGGGGCACCTCCTGTGTGCTTACAACCCAAGGGTTCTTGGGGTAACACTTGGGCTTCTTTGGGTCAATTCACTTCCCCTGCCTGGCTGTCCAGCCCTTGGTTGCCCCAGAGGCTCCCCCCTCCAATAAGGAAGGAAGGCTGATGGGTGCCCTGAGTTTTGGGCTACACTTCTCAACTCTGGCTGCACTTGAAAATTACTTGGGGAGTTTTTGAAAGGTACAGATGCCTGGGCACCCCTGGCCCCAGACCAGTTAAATTAGAATTTTGAGTGTAAAAGCCTGTTTTTTGTTTTGTTTTGTTTTGTTTTGTTTTAAGCTCACTGGCCAAGATATTGTCCTGCAGAGCACTGAGGGATGGAAGGAGGACCCAGGGTTCCTACTGTGTTCCTCCCATCCTCTGAGAAATTTCCTGGCTGGCTCTCGAGGTGGTGGGAACCCTGTTTCTATGGTGGGGGAAAGAATCCCAGGAAAGCTGCGGGGCTGCACAACCCTACCTCCTCTCCTCCCATCCCCCAGACTGAGGCCTGAGGACCTGCAGTCATCTCTGGGACCCACGTCCTCATGCACGGAGCAGTCGGGACATGAACATTCCCTCGGCTGGAGGTGGCCGCCTGATGGCTTCCAGCTGTCACCGCTGGCTAGGGAGGCCTCTTGCACATGCTGGACTTAAAACTCGGTCAGAAATGCTATCAACCTGAACTCCGTGCCGCCAACTGGAAAGCCCACGGCAAGCTGCTGGGGGCGGAGGGTGGGGCTGGGGAATGTGCGTGGGGCTGCAGAGGAAGGCAGGAACTCCAGGGAACTTCCCTAAGTTATGAGCTGGTTCCAAAGTAATAACTGGCTTTAAAGAAGGTAATGAGGTGTGTTGGAAGGACGAGCAGTTTCTTACACTCGTCTCAGCAGCGGGGGCCAAGGCCTCCGGGTGGGAGGGTGGTGGGGGGAGTCGGACGTGCAGCCTCAGGTTTTGCTCCCCTGGTCCCACTCAGCCAGCAGCCAGAAGGGGTTGCCAGGGGCTGTCATCTGCTGGCTCAGGGACAACCCCCGAGCGCAAACACATTTTCACAATCAGTCTTAAATGCTCAGAGGAACGGCGTTTTTCTGAGATTACACATTTTTGCAGCATTATGCTATATTTGAGCATGCAAAACAGTGAAGTGGATTTTTCTTTCTTTCTTTCTTTTGATCATTTCTAGGACCACACAGGGAATTCTTTTGGTAGGTACGGTGCTGGGGGCCTGGGGGCTGGTGTGCTCCTGGCCCGGGTCGGATGCTCAGACAAGTGTTTTCTGAACGGGGATGGCAACTACCCTCTGACCCAGCTTGTAGGGCTGTGGAACATCTCTGGGCGGGTGGGGTTGCTTCAAATTTAAGGCAGTCTCCCGAGTCACTGCTTCTGCATGCTGGGAGGGCCGTCTGGGGTACAGGAGAGAACACTTGGATTTAAATCCCAGCCCCGGCCCTTCCTGACCATTGGAACTTGGACAGGACACCTGACCTTTAGGAGCCCCTGTTTTCCCATTTGTGCAAAGGGGAAACTGAAAAGCTGGGCCTTGACAGGGGATGTGGTAGCAGTAAGAGGGAATGAAGAGCCTAGAAGGGAAGACTTGCCCCACCCCCACCACTTAGGGGCCCTTCTTTTCTGTTTCATTCATTGGACTTTCCTTCTGGAGACTTTTCTCTTCTGGAGACTTGAAAATGTCTCCCTCTGGAGCTTCTCAAAATCCGTACAGCCAGGCCCCACTGCAGACCAGTTAAAATCAGAACCTCTAAGAGCGAGGCAGCGGCACTGGGTTGGCAGTTCGTTATGGTTCCTGGTGATTCTGATGCCTGGCCAGTGCTGTGAACCACTGCCCTAGAAGGGCCAGTGGAACCGGGACAGCGGCAGACGTTGGGACACTAATGCTTGGGACAGCGCTGTCCCCAGGGTCCAGAGGGTTGCCTGGGCTCCTGTTGGTGGGGGAGTTCCTTCCACTTGAGGTTTTAGGTATCATGGTTTTGACCCCCGGGGGCCAAAAGCCCATTATCTCTAGTAATTTGCAATTTTCTCAGGAATGTGACTTTGAACTCCCTCACCACAAGTTGGATGCCAGAGGTGGAGTCAGCTGGCTGGCACCAGGTCCCATGGGCCCCCCGACTTTCCCCTGAGCAGCACACAGCTGTTGGATTCCTGCATCCATCCCTCTCCCTCTGAGTGTCCATGGGGCTGCTGGATTGCCAGTCTCTGTTCCAGGCCCAGCCCTGGGTCTGGAGGACGTTACAGCTCATCACAAGAATCTCTCTGTGGTTTGCGCATCTATCTTTCTTTCTTTCTTTCCTTCCTTCCTTCCTTTCTTTCTTTCTTTCTTTCTTTCTTTCTTTCTTTCTTTCTTTCTTTCTTTCTTTCTTTCTTTCTCTCTTTCGAGAGGACAGGGAGGGGCAGAGGACGAGGGAAAGAGTCATGGAGATGGAGCCCAACTCCATCCAAGCCCCAACTCCATGAATTCAAGGGGACTTGAACTCATGACCCTGAGATCATAACCTGAGCTGAAATCAAAAGTTGGACACTTAACTGCCTGAGCCACCCAGGTGCCCTGGGGAATATACACTTTATTTATTTTTTTACGATTTTATTTATTTATTTGACAGACAGAGATTACAAGTAGTCAGAGAGGCAGGCAGAGAGAGAGAAGGAAGCAGGCTCCCTGGTGAGCAGAAATCCTGATGTGGGGCTCGATCCCAGGACCCCAGGATCATGACCTGAGCCAAAGGCAGAGGCTTTAACCCACTGAGCCACCCAAAGATACACTTTAAAAGGGATTCTTATTTCCATCATCAGCTGTATGGATCAGGGCATCTCTTTGAAAAGATCTGAACATAGATCTCTGAAGGCTCACAGCCTGCTACCTTTGCAGGAAGGAAGGTACCACGATAAATGCACAGATGCTATGGGAGACAAAGGTGCTGGGGAGGTTTCTTTAAAATATAAGACAAATGACCCTGCGTTACCCAGAAAAAAATCTCCACAAAGCAGCGACAAAAAAAAAAAAAAGTAGAACAAAAATTTGTGGGTAAAACAAAAGCTCAGTTTGGGAGTTGTGGGGCCAGGCTTTTCTAGGTGGTCTGTCTCTGGCCGTCAGTGGGAGGGGACCTGGGTGCAGGTGGGTCTAAGAGATGGAAGAAGGAGGCCAATCTGATTTTGGCTGAACCCCAGGGGGTCAGGGATGGACTGAAGAGACCAGTGGTCGCCTCTGGGTCAGCTCGGAGAAAGCAGACAGGGGCTTGGATCCTGTTCATTCTGGTCCGGGTCGGGGAGAGCCAGGAACGCTCTCGACAGCCGCAGTGAAGAGATGCCACGCTTTTCTTCGGCAGGTATCGTGTGAACTTCAGACCCAGATATGTCACCAAGTACAAGACAGTGACACAGTTGGAATGGAGATGCTGCCCCGGCTTTAGAGGGGGAGACTGCCAGGAAGGTCCCAGGGACCCCGTGAAGACCCCCCGCCCCACGCCTGCCCGGCCTCGAAATAGCTTGAAGAAAGCCACAGGTAACTTCTTCGTGCTTTGCTGTGTGTGACCACCTCCAATCTTTTCAGCGTTCCTGCGGACAGTGGGATTTATGATTTTCAATGGCAATCTCTCCAAGGTCTTCAAGAACACACATATATGCCTGCAGTAGACACATGTGGCCTGCAAATTTATTTGCAGAAGCAGTAGCAATCAGAGACAGATTTTTTTTTTTTTTTTTTTTTTTTTACAAGTAAATTGCTCTGTTAGGACCAACTTGTGAAAGTTAAGGACTTAGCGATCAGTGCAGGGCATAGTTTCAGACTGGTGTGGTATGCGGCACAGATGAGAAGAGATTCAGAGGTAGTGATGCTTTGTTTTTGCTTTTCATCTACAAGCTCTCATAAATCTGAATTTGAAGGAAAGAAACTGTTTGTTTGTTTGTTTGTTTGTTTGTTTTTAATAGTTAAATCCGAATCATTCTCATTCTGTTTAGGGTGAGATATTTGCAAAGCTAAGAGCGAGAGGCATCAGTGAAGTTGTTCTTAAATCTGTTTCTGAAATGTCTTTGAAGTAGCACAAACTCAGTGAATAATTAAGAAAGCAGTGATAATTTTCACCTTTTTTTTTTGGTATAACATTAAATAAATGACTTTTATGGATTAAAAATTGTCCTTTTGTCTTTTCTCTTTTTTAAGTTCAGTGAGAATGCATGTAACCTATGTTACCTCATGAATTTGATGGTTGTCTTCAAATGATTGCATTTTCCCATGAGGTATTATCAATTTTGAAACTTAGTGTTTCCCAATATTGTCTGTAAAATAGATTTTAAAATAATTTTTTGAAAAAAGTAAAGCATATCAATTAAAGAATGGAGTATGAAGAAGTATGGAGAAATACTTAGTTACACATAATCTCACCACCATATATTAACTACTGCTAACATTTTGTTATCACGTATTACTCACTTCCTATGTCTGCACATACATTTTGTTAAAGAAAAATTTACTTATTCATCCCACAAATATTTATGGAGCTTCTCTATCTGGCAGGCTGTATACTAGATACTTGGGAAAAGTGAAAAACAAAACAGGCAGTCCCTGAACTCACAGAAGGCAAACGTCAGACAAGTAATTACAATAAGTCATCATAGATAATATGACAGGGACACACGAAGGGGATCTGTTGGATCAGAATAGTTTACTTTTCTTTCATTTTTATTTTATAAAATTTAAGCCTGTATGTAGTTTCCTGAGCGAATAGCTTTAAAAGGATTCTTAGGAAAGCAGTGACCCTCATTCTCCCCCACTTTCTCTTCTCAGTGGTAATTCCTTTCAACTCTTTAGATAATTTTTTGGAATTTACCTCCGTTTCTATTGACCTCTTATCATGGAAGGTGAGAGTTGGACGCCTTTTCCTCTTCTTTCCAGCACATGGCTCCTGTACCCTCATCTTTCCATACAGTTTATACCAGGTTTTTAGTTTAATACTTATTGTTTACATTATAGTAACTGTATATATAATGTTCACAGCTGAGCCATGTCATATACTATGAATTTGTTGTCTTTCTTATACAGCTTTATTGGTTTCTTTAGAGTTAGTAGTTGTCTTATATTTTCCTTTGCTTGATTTTTTTTTTATGTCTTTGTCCCTATTTCAACCTAAATTCTCCTCTGGATGTTTATGTAGATGTCCTCTCATTATGTTTAGACACATCAGTGTTATCTTCCTGAAGCAGTCTCTCCTAGAGCTTTCTTACCTGCCCCACCTGGTTATCCTTTTTCCTTGTTCACAGCTGCCAACTGGTGATCTTACTTGTATCTTTCCCATTGATTCCCTCTTTCCTTTACTCTCTGCTTGTTCTCAACTTACTGCCTTGTCTTGGTAAAGCACATCTTCCAGTAGTTCTATGAGATTGTGTGGGAGCTACACTTTCTATTATTGTATAGTCAAAAACATTTTTATCCTATCTTTAGAATTCTAGATTTGAGATAAATTTCCTTTAGGATTTTGAAAGTATCACTCAGTTTTCTAGCTTCCAATGCAGCTGTTAAAATGTCCAAAACCATTCTGATTCCTAATTTTTTTTATACATGACATGGTTCTGTTTTTTTGTTTTGTCATCTTAGTGAGATTTTGTAAGGGAGTGAAAAGGAAGTGCTTCTCCTTAATCCACTATCATTATAAAGAACATACTATTTTTTTAATTTTTTTAAAAGATTTTATTTATTTATTTGAGAGCAAGACAGTGAGAGAGAGCATGAGTGAGGAGAAGGTCAGAGGGAGAAGCAGACTCGCCATGGAGCTGGGAGCCGATGTGGGACTTGATCCCGGGACCCTGGGATCATGACCTGAGCTGAAGGCAGTCGTCCAACCAACTTAGCCACCCAGGCATCCCAAGAACATACTATTTTTTAAAATTATTTATTTGAGAGAGAGAAAACGAGAGATCGTGCACACTTGAGAATGAGTACAAGCAGAAGGAGGGGGAGAGGGGCTGAGGGAGAGGAAGAAGCAGACTCCCCGCTGAGCACAGAGCCTGATGTGGAGCTTGTTTCCAGGATCCTGAGATCATGACCGGAGCAGAAATCAGAGGGTAAACCGACTGAGCCATCCAGGTGACCCAAGAACATGCTATCTTTAGAACTTATTTTTTAACTTGGGGCACCTGGGTGGCTCAGTGTGTTAAAGCCTCTGCCTTCGGCTCAGGTCATGATCCCAGGGTCCTGGGTTGGAGCCCCACATCGGGCTCTCTGCTCCGTGTGGAACCTGCTTCCTCCTCTCTCTCTGCCTACTGTGATCTCTGTCAAATAAATAAATAAAATCTTAAAAAAAAAGAACTTATTTTTTAACTTGATCTATAATGAACAATCATTCATTAAATAATCTACGGTATCATTTAATGGCTTTTGAGAGTGTAATTATTTGGACACCATCCTCTACTATTGGTCACTTAGGTTGTTTGTGGTTTTTCACTATTGTAGATAATATTTGTTGTTTTTTGTTGTTGTTTTTTGTAGATAGTATTTGAATAAACATTTTTTCCTCTTAGTATTTTAGATTCATCCCTGATTATTTACTAGAATAAACTTCTAGAAGTATAATTGCAGGGGCAAAGAGATTCTGAGATTTTGATACATAAGCAAATTATCCTTTCAAGAAGTTGTGGCAGTTTCCACAGTCACTGGGAGTGGGTAGAAGAAGCATTTCCTTATGTGTGGATTCCCCCCAATCTCCTGCCCTTTGCTTTCATTTCCTTTGTTCAGAATGGCATTTCATCTGTATGTGATTCAACAGCTTGGTTTTTTCTCCTAGTGGCTTGAAGTAGAATACTTTTTTCAGTGTGGAAAACAAGGTATTCTTTATAGTTCTCTGCTTGGGAGTTTGGCTGTCTGAATTCTAGTCTTGGTTTTACCACTAAGTTGATTTTAATGAACAATAGCTGTGGTTATGATTGTGTACAAAAGTTTAGGGGAGGAGAAAACAATGAACAGTAGACACAAACATCTGCACCGTTCTACATTTACTTCTAGTGGTTGTTCAGTGTGCCTTAATGCATTTTATTTCTTCGCATAGATTGTGTTTGACTTTTTCCACCTGTCAAGATAGTCTCCATCCGTGCAGGCGTGTCGTTGTTTGCTCCTTCCTTCCTTCCTTCCTTTCTTTGAGATTTAATTATTTCAGAGAGAGAGAGCAGTGGGAAGGGCAGAGAGAAAGGGAGAAGCAGACTCCCCACTGAGCAGGGAGCCCAATGTTCTCGATCCCAGGACCCTGAGATCATGACCTGAGCTGAAATCAAGAGCCAGAGGCTTGACCAACTGAGCCATCCAGGTGCCCTTGTTAGCTCTTTCTAGTGTTCCTCGTATCCTGCTATCCATGTTTGGGGGCATGGTTTGCTTCTAATCTCCTATTACCTCAGGTTTCAGTAATTTTTTTGTTTGTTTGTTTAGTTTATTGATCACTTTATTTTCATTTTTAGGACTCATCTCATCATCTTTATAACTTTTTTTTCTTCCTTCCATTCAGACTATTTCCTTGGAGGGATATTTCTCAGATGATCAAAAATTCAATGTTTATATTCTTCGATTTAGTGAATCTTAGTATATATGACCACGTGGCTTTATCGTTAGGAGATGCCAAGAGGATCAGTGCTCTATCTCTTTTGCTTTTAGTTTCCCCAACTGCATAAGGGTGCTGAACAACATCTGTGAGACTCCTTTAGCCTAGTGAAGTTAATAAAAGTCAAAGAACATTTAGGAGTTGCCTGGAGGATAACTTACTGCTTATATGATATCATACCACCCACTAGCTAATGGGCGGATCTTGCCAAAGTGGCTTCTTGTGGTTTTACAGTATGTAGTCAACCACTGGGGTGTGGCTGCTGTTCACTAATGTGAGAATGATGTGCTCGTATGACCGAGTAGATTAAGAATACTTCCCTTTAGGGTGGAAGAGACCACTGACTGTCTATTATGTGCCATGTACATGTTCTCTTAACAACCCTAGGAAGGAAGATAGTATCTCTGCTTGGTAGATGAGGGGTTTATACTTTACAGAATTAATTAACTTGCTCAAGGGCAGACAGTGAAGCCAGAATGCGAGGGGAGGTCTCTTTGACTCAAAGCCTATAGTCTTTTTCTCTCTACCACAATTGCCTGTGGTGAGGGGGGATCTCTACGTGAAGGTTTAAGAATATTCCTCAAATACACTATTTATTGGCTTTGCAGAAAATGGGAGACGGTAGAACGCGTTAAGTCATTTCTGACTCTTTCTTTGTAACAGATAACGAACCAAGCCAAGTCTCAGAGCCCAAGAAAACTTTGTCACCAACTCATGCAGCAGAACCAAGCCAAATGGTAGATCCAAAACAGGGACCACAAGAACTTCAGGCAAAGAAAATCCAGGTGCTTGAAGAGAAGGTTCTCCGACTCACAAGGACAGTTCTTGATCTCCAGTCTTCCATTGCTGGAGTGAACGAAAACCTCAAACATGCCATTCAGGACGATGCCAGCAAAATGCTGGCATCATGGCTCAGTAACCTGCACCCCCAGCAAGTGCCCGACAGTGCCGTTGGCGGAGACACGGAGACCGTCCAGCTTCCCGATGTCCTCAACAATAAGGAATCTGGCATGAAGGACATCAAGTCTGAGTTGGCAGAGGTCAAGGATGCTCTGAAGACCAAGAGTGACAAGCTGGAAGAGCTGGATGGGAAGGTAAAGGGGTACGAAGGACAGCTCAGACAGCTCCAGGAGGCTGCCCAGGGCCCTACGGTGACCATGACGACCAATGAGCTCTACCAAGCCTATGTCGATAGTAAGGTTGATGCCCTGAGAGAGGAGCTCATGGAGGGAATGGACAGAAAGCTGGCTGATCTGAAGAACTCATGTGAGTACAAGCTGATTGGTCTCCAACAGCAGTGTGAGGACTATGGCAGCAGCTACCTAGGAGTGATTGAACTTATAGGAGAGAAGGAAACAAACCTGAGAAAAGAAATAAATGATCTTCGAGCCCGGGTACAAGATCCTTCAGCTCGGTCAGACTGCTGTGGTGGTGAAAAGAATGGTGACTTTGGGCAACAGATCAAGATGTTAGACCAGAAGATCGAAAGAGTTGCTGAAGCCACCAGAATGCTGAATGCACGACTGGACAATGAATTTGACCGCCTTGCAGTTCCAGAGCCAGACGTGGACTTTGATGCCAGATGGAATGAACTAGATGCAAGGATCAATGTGACAGAGAAGAATGCGGAAGAACATTGCTTTTACATTGAAGAAACCCTTCGGGGGACCATTAATGGCGAGGTGGATGACCTGAAGCAACTTCTCGATCAGAAAATACAGTCTTTGGAAGAGCGCCTGGGGAGTGTTCTCTTGGAGGTGGCCAACAGCACTGAGGCAGAACTCACCCCCCCAGCCTCAGCCTTACCAGGGGTGTCAGGGGCTGGGAACAAGCAGGTCCTGATAGAGTTAAATCACCTGAAGAACAAAGTTCAAGTTGTGGAGGATATTTGCCTACAGAACTTTCCAAGAAAGCCTCATGGGATAGAAGATACTTTGCCAAATGGAGAAGACCACCTAACGGGTGATAGTTTGAACCTTTTGAAATCCCTGAATGACACGATGCATAGGAAGTTTCAAGAAACCGAACATAGCATCCAGAAACTTCAGCAGGATTTTCGTTTTCTTTATTCTCAGCTAAACCACACAGAGGACGATGTGAATCAGCTCCAGAATGAGCTGAACAGCTGTAGAGAAGGTAAAAACGCGGCAGTGGGTGGGTTTTCTATGGGGGGTGAGCAAGGAAGGACGGTGGAGCCCCTGCCATCTCCCCGGGACCCCCTGGCCCCTTGCTGCAGCCAGCTGGAGGAGAGGTGGCAGCAGCTGCAGAATCGGGTCCTCTCCGAGCTGGACGCTTGTAAGGAAAACACACACGGGGTCCAGAGGGACGTCTCCGTGGTGGAGAGCAGGGTGTCTCACCTGGAGAAAACCTGCAGCAAGCTGGACTCCATCTCAGGAAGTCTTCAGAGGATCAAGGATTCACTTAACAAGCATGTCAGCAGCCTCTGGAGTTGTGTCAGGCAGATGAATGGGACACTGCGGTCACATTCCAGAGACATATCTGGCCTGAAGAATTCTGTCCAGCAGTTCTACAGCCACGTTTTCCAGATTTCTACCGACCTGCAAGACCTGATCCGATTTCAGCCATCGGCAAGTAAGTTGACCTCTGCAGTTCCATTTCTTGTATTTTCTTGCCACGTGTGTCATGCTAGACTTTGGATGGCCCGTGGAACTAACTGCATCAGTCCTCCCCTAAGTGTGGTTCGTAGGTTGGCGCCAGCTTGTGAATCACTGGTGCTGAGTGGCAGTGAGATAAATACCCACATCGAGAGTATTTGGAAACTTTTATTGAAAACAGTTTGTCATCACTGTAGCATTCACCGTCTGTGCATTTTACAGAAGTATCAGGACAACAAATTGAAAATGAAAAAGGAATACTCCTTCACCACAGGGAGGATGGCAAATGTCCATCTGTGTATTTCTGTCATGTTGCTGAGCGTAGAGTTGGGGTCCCGTTTTTGGCGTGACAGCCTGGAGCAGTGGATATCGTTGTCCCGTTTTTAGTCAGGGAGCCTCCTGTATGCTTACCGGTTCACTTGTCCACAGCCTTGCCTTTCATTTGCGGGTGTCATTATAATCTTTGTCCGCATCGTCTTCAGTCTACCTCCTCTTCCCTGAAATCTGAGGCCTAGGAGATGGCAAGTAGAATACTGTCCTCTTCCTTTCCAGAGACAGGGACCAGACGCTGGACAAAAAACACTCTAGGGGAAGTGACTGTTGAAGGCCATGTGGTGCCTAGAACCACTGTGCCTAGAGCAAGGCTTGCTACATGTTAGATGCTCTGTAAATGTTTGTTGAATGAACGAATGAGTGGTTCCTTAATAACATGAATTAATATACGCAACAGAGTTCATTTCTTTGCTACTTGAGGGTTCAGCCCATCTTCCCTGAAGGACAGGGCTTCTCTTATACCTCCATTCTTTCATTTAAGTTGTCTCAGTCATGAGACAGCCTTCTCTAATTGGAGGCAGGGACTGAAAGTGAGTTCACATTTATTGAGCACGTTCTGTGTACCAGCACTGAGCTGGTTCACTCAGGGGGCATGTCTTAGAGCCCCCGCCAACCGCCTCATGGGGAAGGTGCACCGCTTTTCCCAGGGGAAGCGTACCCAGGGGGACATAGCCAGGAAGTGGCGGAACTGGGATGGGAACCCCGGGTGGGCTGCATCCAAGAATTGTCTTCTAGTCCGGAGCACATCTCCTTTGCATATCCCAGAGTTGAACACAGATTTATGGGGTCCAAAAGGACTTGGTGAGGGCCAACTGTAGGCCTAGAAGGACCCCACTTCCTGGCCCTCTCCCTGTTTTCTCTTCTCTTCCTCTTTGGCCTTTTATCACCTTTTCCACTCTGCTCAGCTCCAGGTGACAAAGGTCGTCACATGTTGAACTGAGAATTTATGGTCTGGAGTGGGCCTCTAGGATTTTAGGTCCAAGCTGAGACCTAAAACCCAAGGAGGGGAGGGCTAGAGCATGAGAGGGAGGGGAGCCATGGCGAGTCCTGACTAGGTCCCCAGGAAGCTGAAGGGGCTGAGGTAGTCAGGTAGGAAAGTGCTTTGTTGTTCCCGGAGATAAGGGGCTTGTAGATAAGGGGGCACCCAGGCCCGCCAGGATGGGGAAGCGGGCCTTCACCCCAGTGCGAGGCCCACAACACTACACTATTTATAACCCTCCCCCCTTCCCAGGCCCACACAGCTCCTGTATCTCTGGAATGTTGAGTAAAGGTCACAACACTGTGTGTGTTCATAGAATGATTGTCCTTGGGGTGACAGCGCTGTCTGGACTGTGCTTTATAATAACAGATTGAACCAGATATTTCCAGTTGATTTGCAACTCCCAGGCGGTGTGGGAAGCTGTGTTAACTCTTTCACACTTGTCTATCATGTCAGAGGTGAATGTCTTTAAAGAGAATGTAACTTCTCAAAGATTATCCTTCTGGAATGAATTCATCACTGTGAATGCAGAATGTGTGGACTTTCGAGAATTCCATTGATCGAAAAGAACCAAAAATAAACAAGCAGGGCTTTCTTTCTCCTTGTATAGCATCCAGGTCTGGGAGTTCTGGAGCCTGAGTAGCAGAGGTCCGGGGGCAAATCAGGAGTGAAGGTCACAGTGAAAGTCACACATCGGCCAGTTAAAAGTCAAGTGAACCTTTATTGAGCACCTGCTGTGTGCAGGGCTCTGTGAGAGACATGGAGAGAATGAGTAGCGTGATCCCGACCCTCAAGGCATTTTCAGTCAGAGTGGGAAAGCCACACAGGTCTGCAGAGAGAATGAATGTGATAGTGTGTAAGGCCCAGCCAATGCTGTAGGGTGTATCCTTTCAGTTCATAAGATCTCACCGAGCCTCTATTATGTGGTAGTTAATGAGCTATATGTGTGGATTATGTGGATGACAGTGCATGCGACAATGACAGTGTGAGGGCCAACAAGCTGACAAAGGGATGGTCATGGGAATGGAGCTGGGGGGCAGGGCGTGGTGCATAGGCACACTGGGTGTGTGGAGGGGCACCTGCGGCCACTGTAGAAGTTAGGAGAGAGCCCCTGAGTCAAGGCTTCAAGGTTGAGTAGGTTGAGAGTTTAGAGGCTGGAGGGGGAAGAGTGAGGTGGAGTGATAAGAGAAGCTTCTGGAAGGAGGTGTTACTGGAACGAATAATGAAGGGCTGGTTCGGGCCCAGAAAAGCAGGAGGGAAATACCTGGAAAACAAAAAATGTTTTCCATTTTTCTGTGCATCAGGAACTCGGTGGGGCTTGGTTTAGCTTGGCTTGGTGGTTCTGCTCCATTTGACATTAGCCTGAGTCAGTCTCTCAGCCATCAGCAGCTGGCAGCTGGGCCTGGCTGGGCTGGAAGGTCAGGGTTCCTCCATGCGGCCGTTCTCTCTCTCTCTCTCTCTCTCTGTCTCTCCCTCTCTCTGGCTAACTTGGGCTGCTTCACAGCATGGCCATCTCAAGGTAGTCAGACTTACTACATGGTAACTGGTCCGTAAAGGAAAGTGGAAGCTGCTGGGCCCCTTCCAGGCATGGCCGCCTCTCTGCCACATTCTGTTGGTCAAAGTAAGTTAGCTCTTTTTATTTTATTTACTTATTTGACAGACAGAGATCACAAACAGGCAGAGAGGCAGGCAGAGAGAGGGAGGGGGAAGCAGGCTCCCCACTGAGCAGAGAGCCCAATGCGGGGCTTGATTCCAGGACCCCAGGATCATGACCTGAGCTGAAGGCAGAGGCTTTAACCCACTGAGCCACCGCCCCACAAGTTAGCTCTTGAAGGGGGACATGGTTTGTATGCATTGGGAGGGAAGGAATATTGATGACAGTCATCATATCTCCCTCAGGGAGCAAAGGCCCGGGGATGAGGATGCACGATGTGGGTTTGGACCAGGAACCAGATGGCTAGACCAACCAGGGAGGTAAAGTTTGGCCTTTCTACCCGGCGCACTGCCCTGTTCTCGGATGCCGTTCTTTTCTTCAGAAGCATCCCTAAAGGGGGCCTGAATTTTCCAGAAGGCACCCAGGGCGGGAGCAGAAGGGGCTTCTGCTGGTGCTCATATAGCTCCAAGTCTATTTCGTCTCCCTCCCATTAATGCAGATGTTCTTCCTTGGGGTTTAAAAAGGACTCTTGGAATTTGCAAATGTTGGCTATTTTTTGTGGACCAAAGGTCCATGGTTTTCATCTGGACACAGAAAAGTGCCTAGCTTCCAAAAGATAAAGAACCAGTGTCTCACCTTGAGCTCAGTAAAATGTGATGCCCCTCTCCTGGCCCCCTCCATCCCACCCACCATTCATTCATTCAGCTCATACAATCTGAGCTGCGTCCTGGGGCTTCAGTACCAACCTCGTAAATGTTTTACTCTGGTAGAAAGACAGTCAATGCACAGACAAGCAAATAGTGATCTGATTTCAGCCAGTGCTCAGTCCATGAGGAAAGACACAACAGAGTAAGTTCATGAAGAAGAGGAGACAGCAATATATTTTAGGTGCATGGCCAGGGGAGGGTTGCTCAGTGGAGGTGACATCTTTGTAGAACCCTGCAGAGGTCTGTGGGAAGTGTTCCAGGCTGACAGAACAGCATGTTCAAAGGCCCTGAGGCAATAATGAGTTGGCCCTGTTTGAAAAACTCAGAATTCTAGTTTTATCAAGTATATGAACAAGGGAAGTAGGTCCTAAGCATTAAGGTCAGAGAGGGGGTAGGAACCATATCATGGAGGATTTTATAGGCTATGGTAAAAGATTTACGTATGATGAGGAACTGTCAGAGGATTTTGACCCAGCAGCATCTATTTCCTGGGTTGGCAATCCCAGCTACCTCCATGCTTTCTCTGGGACTTTGGGGAAGTCATTTATCTACCTAATTACCTCACTTCCTGCATCTTTTAGTTGGAAATAATAATGACACTTACCTCAAAATGTTGGTTTAAAGAGGATTGATACTCATAAGGAGTGGAGTATTAAATAGTGCCTGGCCCCTGGTAATCACTGGCATAGGTAATCAGTGGGCATTACCTATTATTTTAACCCTCTGTCCCTTGTAATAGATGTTTACTCTGCTCATGACTGAACTTTTCTCCCTTTCACTTCCTACAAACCCCCAGGCACTCAGTCTCAGAGAAGCCAGAGCAGCCTGTCCACAGAGCAGACACGGGATGAGAGCTCTGCATGTCAGGCTCCTGGCTGCTCTGTGGAATGTTCCAGATACCCAGTGGGGGTTTTCTCTCTTCCCCCGCCTTTTTTTTTTCTTTTCTAAGTCAGGGGTCAGGTGGGAAGTACAAAAAGTCCAGAAATCTCCCCTCCCAAGCTATTCAGGATTCACGTTCAAATACTTCTGTTGATGAGAGGCTCACACTTGGGACGAAGTTAGGTTGGTAAGTCCTCTGTCCTTCTGTCTGATGTGGCCATAGGGCTTTGGCCCTCTCCCTGCCCATGCTCACTCCCATCACTGGAGATGCGTGGGGCCCTGCCCTTCTGGCTGGCACCCTCTGCTTTTCCCTGGGTGGGCATCTTGCAGGGTAGGAGTAGCTCTGTGGCAGGCAGCTCCAGGGTCTGCCCCCAGCCTGGGTGAAAGGCATCTTTTCCTGCCTGGGCCCCGAGGACTGCCCTGGC